GCTCGGGCTCCCGCTCCGGCTCCACTCGTGCCGGCCAGTGCCCTGGTGCGCACCCGAGCTCCGATGGCTGCTCCCAGCCCGCTGAGGAGGCTGCGGGGTGAGCGTGCGGTGCGGGGAGCATGAGAACTCCCGCAAGGCACCCGGCTTTATTCCCCAGGGAAGAAAGAGGGAAGGATGCGGAGAGACGGGGCGTGGGAAGAGAGGAGCATCCAGAGACGGAGACAGGCTAAGTAAGGAGCCTCAGGGACCCGCCGCTTACCGGTGCCAGGAGTCAGAGCCAGGGAGACGCGCTGCGGGGTGAGCGTGCGGTGCGGGGAGCATGAGAACTCCCGCAAGGCACCCGGCTTTATTCCCCAGGGAAGAAAGAGGGAAGGATGCGGAGAGACGGGGCGTGGGAAGAGAGGAGCATCCAGAGACGGAGACAGGCTAAGTAAGGAGCCTCAGGGACCCGCCGCTTACCGGTGCCAGGAGTCAGAGCCAGGGAGACGCGAAGAGCTGCCTGCAGACCAGGGCTTCCCTAGCACCGAGGAAAGGACCTGGGCTCCTCGTTGGCCACCTTCCAAAGTGGCCCTGAAACGAACTTAATCTCATCGTGCCTTTCACCATCGGGCCTTTCGGACCCTGGACGTGGTCGTTCCAGCAATCTCCGAGTCATGCAGAAGGGAGACGCTCACCTAACACTCAGGCGCCACCCCCACCGCCAGCCCCTGCATAGGCAGGACCCTAGATTTCTTGGTTTGGCCGGGAAAATCATGCCCTAAACGGCACCTTCTACTTCAAATCCGGCACGGCGTTCCTTACATCACTTTTCCCCCCACCCCCATTACACCCACCTTCTTCCACGGAAATCTGTTCATTGTCTTCATCCATGTACACCCAAATTTAGCCCTTCTTAATGCTGGCAGTACCTGGCCCACCTCAGGAAGCTGCCATTCGAAGTATGTCATCCTGTCCTTTGTGCTTACCTTGACTCAGCCCACTGGGCGAGGATTTGGTCTATTATTATTACTCCACGTGAATATAGTGGAGACCTACTGTGGGCTCAGTAATCTGCTTAGTTTTGTCAGGGGGACAAGGAATAACACCTTTCTCCCTTAAGGACCTTAGTCTCATGGGAGTGGGGAGTGACAGGTCATGTAGTCACCTTCATTTGCTCCTCTTTTTTTCCCCTAAGGCGTAAGGGTTGCCTCAAAGTCCTTGCTATCTCTTCTTCATATTCTTGTCCAAATTGATATCTGCTCCCCCAGCATCAAACATCACAACTTTTAGTGGTTAGAAAAAAAACAAACAAAAAATCCCTAAATTTGTCATTAGAACATGTGGTTGCACAGTTCTCTCACTTATTTGAGCAAATCATCTAACTTCTCTGAACCTGAGGTTTTTTGTGTTAACAGCAGGGATAGTCAGAAATGAATGTCACTTTAGAGACTATTCTGAGCCTGGTAACTGTAATCCTGCCCTACCTACTTTATAGGATGTTAGGATCAAAATCAACAGTAGACAGTGGCCATGAAAAGCCCTTCATAAATCATACAGCACTATAAACACACAAGATGAAATGTAGAGTACTTGCAGATAACCCATACACTTTCCCCTGACCTCAGAGAAGTGCCTGGTTGAACACCTCTACATCAGTTGTTCATAGGCACCTTTTAAAAGTGTCTAAAATCAAGTTCAACACCCTCCTCCATACCACATGTTCCTTCATTTATCTATTATATTGTAAATGGCATTCATATCACTCAGCTACCCCTATTAGAAGTTCATTTGTTTAACAAATTTTCATTGACCCAGGCTCCAATGCTTATAATCATCATTGATTATGCCTCTCACCACCACTCCACATGAACCCCTTTACCTGGTCCTGCCCTTGAAAACAATTGCGCTCATGCATTCTCTCTTCCCTGGTGCTTTCAGGTTCCTCCTAGTTGCAATTAATTGTTCATTTCAGTGTTTCCATAGCACTTTATTTGTTCCATAACATCTCTATTGTAGTTAATCATCGTATATTAATAATGCAAGACAATGGACTTGCTGTGGATGCTAAAAACGTGAATTTAGTGATGACAAAGTGTTGAATGAACACAGGAAAGGGAAATGGATACCTGTGGGCACTGACAGATAAGGTTTCACATAGGAGGGCAGCAAGCTATGGATGGGTGCACAAGGTGTCACCCGTGTTAGGGACAGACAGAGGCAAAGGCATGGAGATGAAAATCCATGTGATATTTTCAGATAGTAATGAGGAGACTGGTAGCTTTGAAAGGACAGATTTTTTTTTTCAGCTTTATCGAGATATAATTGACTCAACATTGGGTAAGTTTAAGGTGTACAACTTGATTTGATACAGTGTACATTGTGAAATGATTACCACACTAAGGTTAGTCAATACCTCCATCACAAATAATAGACTTGTGTGTGCACGCGTGCGTATGCTGACAACATTTAAGATGTACTCCCTTAGCAACTTTCAGGAATATAATATATATTTGTTAAGAGACAGAATTTGGGTGATTTTAAAGGCATTCAGTGACCTTCCACATTAACATTGCATTCTGCAGAGGGTGTGTGATACAGGAGTCCTAGAGTCACAGAAGTGATCTTGTAAAGTACCCGATCCCGTTGTCAAATTATAAACATAGACAACCGAGATCTAGAGAAATCGAGGTGATTTCCTGACTTGTTGGGGGACGATAAGCCCTTTGAAGGCAGGATCCTTGTTGTGCTTTCTATTCTGCCAATGAAGCTGTCACTCCCTTTTCCCATAGCACTTATGGTAAAGTTTTGGTGAATAAAAGAAAAAAAAAAATTCCTTTCTCACAACAAGTTACATGCAAAGATTCCACACCCAGAAAATGCTTGTGCAAGATTCCTTTTGGAAATACTATACTGGGAAATTAGGTTAGGTTTGACATAATATTTAACCTTGAGGGTTAAATTCCATGTGGGCTTAGCAACCTAGCAGTTTGATCGCTGTTTTCCTTTAGCGTTTGTATGATGATAAAACAATGCATATGTCCTTAGTTCAGAGCCTAATTCAGCCTGCTTATGTTGTCCAGGGGTGAAGCACCCCAACCACCAGCATTCAGCAAGGATCTTGACCAGAGAGGCATGGCTAGAGAAAGAAGAGCGAAGACGTTTCATCTCAGGATGGACATGCAGTCATGACCGTCAAGAAGAACACTGCTCCCACCCCATCGCATCTGGCTTGGTGGGCTCTTCATCCAGGTGCGGAGGCCATCACAGCTGCAAGAAATGCTCCAGCAGCCAAGTTCACTAGGAAGAAGGAAGAAAATGTCAGAACGATTGAAAGGCTCCTGGTACTTGTTTCTGCTTTTTTTTTTCCCCAAATTTTTTTAACTTTTTAAAATCAACTTTATTTAATATCCCAGAAGACTATGGTGAAAGTGTTTGTTGACTAAGATTTGCACTACCAGAAATGAAAGTTGAAATAGAATGGATGCTCTGGTCTTGTATTGTATTACCCTTTTCATAAAAAAAAAATACTTCCTCAACAATTCTGATTAGAATTCTCCCTTGAGAAGAGAAATTCAGGAATTTCTTTGCTGTTATTTGGAAGCTTTTGTGCTTTTCATTGCTCTGTGAGATCAGAGCAAGATGCAGAACAATTTCATTCAATCTTCTGTGGTATCATCCAGGATCTTGCCATTCAAAATGGCATTATTTTAGAAAACCATAATTGTAGCGCATATACAGTCAAACCCAGCCAAAATGCAATAAATGGGATCCAAGAATTCAATTTTGATATGTGAGTTACTGTTGGGGGAAGGGGGACTTGTTGTGGTATGTGAGTTACTTTGTGGGGGAGGAGGACTTGTTGACAAGATGGGCCACAGCTCTCCATCTGGGAGTTCTGAGGGTCTTTGCTGTCCAGAGCCCTCCCGGACTGGCTGTGGTTTGGCATCAGCTGGTGGGGATTGTCCACCCAACTGAAATATTGGTGGCGATTCTTCTGGCTTCTGCAGCTGGCTGGGACTTTCAGGACAGTGGCAGCAATTCCAAGAATCTACCACTTAGTTGGCAGCTATTTCGTTAGCTTGACTTGGAGAGATTGGACTGGAAGAAAGAAGACTGGCATAAAGGAGCTAACACGTCGAGTGACTGCTCCCCAGCCTGCCTCGCCTTCCTCTGTACTTCCCAGTAGATGAGAACTTCAGCAGCCCTGTTGAGAGACAGGAAGCTGTGTGGAGGACAGGGGTCAATCTCCAGTGGCATTATATCTTGATGACATATACTTTTATAACAGAAATAGACATTTCCAACATCGAGAGAGCAATGAAATGAATTACAGTAGATCCATGTGGCAGACTAGAATGTGACCAACAAAAACGGTATTTTCACAGAAAATGTAATAATGTAGAATAATCATGATGTTCATATAAATGAAAAAATAGGATGCAAAATTGTATACAAGTGTAGTTTAATATTATAAAATGTATATGTGTGTATATGGGTAAAAGACTAAAAGGAAATAATCACACTGTTATCAGTGATATATCGGGGGTGCAGTTTGGATTATAGATGATTGTAAATATGTACTCCTGCATTTGAATTATTCTTATAATGATTTTTAAAAAGACAACCATCTTCCCTGATTAAATAAATAACACAGTAATGGCACTTAACATATTAACCCAGTTCCTATAAAAGAACATCCTTTTAAGTTACTCCTTCCTATTTTTTCTAGTTATTGTTGAACTAAGCCTGTAGTGAAACAAGCCATTTTCCTACACAGGGGGTGGGTCAACTGCCCCCAGCTCACAAAGTGTCTTTAAGTAAAAGGAAAGCTACAAATATGAAGAAAATAGAAGCACTGTTGCCTTATCTATTAGGCATCATATTCCCAATGCTTAAGGCCTATGATTTTTTTTTCCATTTTTTTTTTAGGAAAAAGTTTGAGATCAGAAAAATATGACTGCAGAAGAAAACTGCAAAATTTATATTAATAAACATTTTTATGAAACATCTGCAAAACACGTCATTTATTTAATTTAGGTATCAAAAATGTCATTACATTCATGAGCAATTTGTGAGTTAGCTTTTCTTATTTTACAAGTATACATAATGATTGATAAGAAGATAATAGCCAATCAAAAATTAAATGTTAGTCGTAGCCAAAAATCTCAAGAGCAAAATCATAAAAGTCTTTTTTTAAAATTTATGGCAAGAATATTGTATTAAATGTGGGCTATGAATTCCTTTTAATATGTTTGATACGATGAGGGGGTGGAGCCTCTAAAGCTCCGAATGCTCAGCACTGCAGGGAGTCTTTCAAAAGCTCTGGGAAGAAGAGAGGTTTTATTCTTTGTTGATCAGCAATGTCCATACAAATCACTGTGACTTTAAGAAGCCAAAGCTGAGTGAGAAGACCAGAGGAACCACAAGATTTTGGCCTGAGCCTTTTGTCCTGGCTAAGGGGCAGAGAGGGAAGCAGAGGGGCCTTAGCTGTGTGGAGGCTGGGGCGGACCCTCCCCGCTGGAAAGAGGAGACCTTGCTAGGAACCTGTGAGTTTGCCTCAATCCTTTATGGACGTGGGGCAAGTTAAGTCTGTTGTTAAAGGCGTTAGTACTGTCCTCGGTTATTTAATTTTTTCATTGCCACTTCAGAAAAACACACCCATGCCACTAATATTTATGGATTGCAGCTACTGTGTGCCAGTTAACGTGCTAGGTACTGCGCAGATTTCTTCTCTCCTAGGTTACAGTCTGAGAGGCTACACAGTAGAAGCAGGTAAACAGACATTCCTATAATTGCAGACTGTGATGAGGGATCTGAAGGTAATAAACCAAGTGTTGTAATAGAAAACAGGCAGAGTGTCGGGAAAAACTTTTCCGAGGAAGAGAGACACAGCCTTAAGTATGGGAAGCAGTCTGCCATGAAAAGAATGGGGCGAAGAGTCCCCTGGACAGAGGGGCCATCCCGTGTGATAGCTTCTGTTCTAGACCCCAAAGGAGGCCTGCACTGGCAAGGAAGGCAGAGGTCAGGTCATTGAGAGCCCAGCAAGGATTCAAATTATATTCTAGGTGCAGTGGGAGCCCTTGGAAGCTGAGGATGTGTTTATAAAAAATCCTCGGAGGCTCCTATGTGGAGAATAGATTGAAGGAATAGAAATGTCAAAGTAGGGAGCCATGTAAGGCAACGATTACAGGAATCCAAGTAAGAGATGATGGTGGCTTCGACTACAGTCTTGACAGTAATGATAAAGAAAAAAATGGAAAAATTCATCTATAAGAGGGAATAGTGCTTTAATGTGGTGGCGCCAGGGAGGCGGGGGTGGGGGGGTGGGGGAGGAGGGCAAATTTGGCCTCAGTGCCCAAAGCGGTACATAGTGGAAGATGCCAGTCATGGCTTTATTTGTCTTTTTTAACATTCTTGTGATGATTCTTGCAATCAAAGGGCACCCTGGTTTAAGCACCTGTTGTTCTTAACGAGAAGGCGCCTGAAGAGAAACGTCCCCTAGTCTGCTTCAGTGGACATGTTTTTAATTCTAAAATATAGTGTATGCTATATTGATGCTACCCTAAAGAAAACCTAGAGAAATAATCGATGCACTTATTTGAAACACATCCGAAGAAATTCAACCTGAGGAAAATGATCACAGCAGTCTTGCTGCTGCGTCCAAGAGTCAGAGATGCGATGCTTCCCATGGTCTTCACTGCCCTTGCGAAGAACCAAATGGAAGACTTGAGAATAAAGGACCGAAGTCTTTGTATCCTGGTGGCACGCAGCGTCCGAGCTGGTTAACCCTGTGCAGGGCCAGTCCATCAGCCCGCGGAGAAGAATCGAAGTGGAAAAGAGGAACAGGGGGTCCTGGAAAGATTTCCATCCCACCCAAGCTGTGTCCACTTCCTCCGCACCGCTTTCAGTTCCTGAAACGAGGGGTTTCAGCGTCCGGGGGGAAGGGAAAGCAGCCCCGGAGCAGTCGGTCAGGGGGTGCGCTGCGATGGCGGGCCTCAGACCCTTCTGTGCTCCTCACTCCCCTTCTCCCCTTCTCCCTGGGGCCACCTCCATTTTAGCATCCAGATTTTACTCCAGAAAGTTGTATAGGAGTCTGCAGATCCACTGAGCACTCTCTGTCATCTGGACAAAGACCCCAAAACCCTATGCCAGAGTTTCCTCATTGTTAGGGGTTTGAGTGCTGCGTACTTTCAGTGACAATAATCTGACGTCCATCTGTCACCCCTCTCTGCCATCCCCCTCCCCCATCAGACATGCCTTCGTCACTTTCTCAAGTCTCTAAAACTTGAAAGGGGTGGAGTCGGACTTCATGGGTGGCTTAGACTTAGGAGAGTACCTTATAATTCCCTTATGTATTTTTAGCACCAGCCCACATTCAAATGTCATACTAAAAGGAAGCTATAGATAAAATCATCGTTACATAAAATTCTTGGCCTGAATTTTAAAGATAGGAGACTGTTGATCGTTTATAATATTCATGCCCTTAGTACTTTCATCTTTAATATAACATGGTTCTTTTTTAGAGAGTTGACGGAAAACTAAATTTCAATAATGAATCCTGCTTTATCTTTTATTGATTTGGGCTTTTTATGTTTTAGCTTTCTTATTCAAATTTGAAGCAGGTCACAATAGCGGTATTTTAAAACTTGATAAAATAAAACTTAGGGATGAATCTGAAATCAGAAATAAGTTTATTATCATTTTTTTTTCTCATTCATTCATCACATGTACACTGAGGTCCTAGAAGATTCTGAGCACAGAGATGAAAAAGATACATTCCTTGCCCTTATGGGAATCAGTTTAGTGGATAAGATAAATCCACGAGCCAGTCATTTTCAACACTACGTAGTATATATGCAATAGCAAGACCATACAGGTGCTCGGAGTAAGACCGACCGCTAGATCAGCCTGTGGGATCGGGGAGGGAAGTGCATAATCGGAGGTAGAGAAGGTGGCCCTGAAATGATGGTGCTTGAGTTAAAAAAAAAAAGTTTATGCAGCATAATCACGGCATCTTTTCAGGTCATTGTTGTATTTACATAACAAGTAGCTGAATACATTCAGCTACTTCTTAAAGTTCAAGCTTTAAGAAGGTCATGGACTGAAAAGGGAAAGTCCCCCAAACCATTTTCGCTCTACTCTCATTTGTATAAATGGGAATATACTGTACATTTGGTGTCATGACTTGCTTCCTTTCTACTCTACATGATGCACTGGAGATCTTTCTTCATAGGAGTAACAGGGATTGGTCTCAGTATTACAAATCTCATGTATACGGAATTCTCATTTTTTAAATTCATCCCACACTGCATGCAGCTCTTAGCTGAATGGCAGAGAACTTGACTGAGTCCCTTCTAGGGAAACACAGTCAATTCTGAGTTTTTCTCAGACTCTGTTAGGCAATTACTCAATGAAAGTCAATACCCCACTCCCTTAAAGTGACCTAGGATGAGGGCAGGGGCTTATGTGGCTTGGGGATGGAGACCATTGATGGATTATGGGCATCATCGTCTCCTGGGGGCACCTAGGATGACCTCCATCACTCCACGGTCTCCTCTACTCAGGCCTAGTGCTCTGGAAACTTTTCAGCTCAACTCCAGTTCCCTTCAAGTCTACCCTTCCCTAAGAGGATCACTAGGGCTTTGAGCTGCCCTGGTTCTTCCACCTGGAAACTCAATCAGTCAATGCTACTCCATGCCCTGGACCTGCCCGGTTCTTCTCTATGAGGTCTTTAGCCTCCTGGGACACAGCTGATGATCGAGACCTACATCTTTCT